AGATTGCCAGGAGAGGGAGAGAGGTGAGGCTGAGCCTCCTCCCCTGCCTATTCCCCCAGGACCCGACACCTGGGCCCCTCAGCCCACAGCTGCACACCACGCAGGGCCTGCCTCAAAGGGCGTGCAGAGCAGAAGAACCGCCTGGCCAAGCCCCGCACACATTTTCTAATCCATGAACTTGTGAGACACAATAAAGCGCCTGGGAGTATTTGTAGCACAGCAGCAGGCAACCTCTGGAGCAGGCCTGGGGTGAGCCTTGGGCACCACCGCACCTGACAAGCACTTGAGGGGTCCTAATGCACAGGCTGGAAAACACCTTTAGAAGGACCGGGAGACAGGAACCAAGTCCAAGGCTTCCAAGGGGTGCGCGTCTACACCACATCCTACAGAAAGAAATGTGCAGAGTAGATTGGGGAAGAGGCAGGAAGGAAGAGAAGCAAAAGGACAGAGGTTGGCTTGGAGGAAGACTTTTTTTTTTTTTAAGATTTATTTACTTACTTGAAAGTCAGAATTACAGGGGGAGACGGAGAGACACAAGAAGAGAGCTCTCTTCCACTTGCTGGCTCACTCCCCAAAGGGACACAACAGCCTGGCCCGAAGTCATGAGCCGGGGGCTTCTTCCCAGACTCCCCCGCAGGTGCAGGGGCTCAGGCACTCGGGCCATCTTCCACTGCTTTCCCAGGTGCATTAGCAGGGAGCTAGATGGGAAGTGAAGCAGCCGGGACTCGAACCGGTGCTCATATTGGATGCTGGTGTCGCAGAAGACAGCTTTACCAGCTCTGCCACAGCTCCGACTCCCAGACAACTCATTCCAACAAGAGATGACTTTCACGCCTTTGGTGCTGATGTGAAAGATACAGAGCTAGGTATGGCCCAGCCTTGCCTGAGTGGACCTCCTGTCCTAACCCAGAATGGCACAGAGAGAGGGGGAACAGACAGAGGGCAGAGTCAGAGAAGGCAGGGCCGATTCTGGGGCCCAGACCACTACACACCCCATAAGCCCTGTCCCACCCCAGGTACTCCGGCCAGCGATGGACGCTAACCCAGCCTGGGCTCTCATCACAGCGTCTTTCCTGCTCGTGCCTCTGGGCATGAGGCCTATGGATGGACTGATGAGACACAGGGGCGGGGGACTGCCTGGAAGTGGGGTCCAGCCTGGCACTGAGACTCAAAGGACAAGAGGAAGCAGGAAGTGGTGTTCCAGGTGGGGAACCACAGGTGTGAAGTTCAGAGGAGGTGCAGGGGATGGGAGGGAAGGGGGAGGGGGAGGGGTGGTCCCAACTTCAGGGACAGGTTGAGCTGCTGCCAGGGAGAGCGAGTCTGGGTGTGCAGGAGATGGGAGAGCGTGGATCAGCCGCAAGTGCAGGAATCTGGATCCCGCGTCTATCTTGAAAAGGCGTCTGTGTGGCACTGTTGCTCTCACGCTACAGGATGGCAGAATAGCACACATTTTGGCCGGGGAGGCCAGGCAGAAGGTGGATTGAGAAAGGACCGAGGGAAGACATCGCATCAGCAAGTGCTAATGAGCATGCACTACACGCAGGAGGCAGGAACGCCGCAGTGGGTGAAGTCCCCAGCCCCACGGAGCTCAAGCTCTGGAGTGTGCAGGCAGAACTGAACACAGGGGAGGGGTCGTGGGGCAGGTGGGGATGAAGAAAACGTAAGGGAGAAGATACACCCGTGGCTGATAAGCACATGGGAAGATGCCCAGCCCTGGGGTTGGAGCTGCGGCATAGAAGGCTAAGGCTCCGCCCGCAATGCTGGCATCCCATGTGTGCGCCAGCTCCAGTCCTGGCTGCTCCACTTCCAATCCAACTCCCTGCTAATGTGCCTGGGAAAACAGCAGAAGATGGCCCAAGTGCTTGGGCCCCCGCACCCATGTGGGGGGCTCCTGGCTCCTGGCTTCAGCCTGGCCCACCTGCAGCTGTTGTAGCCTTTTGGGGAGTAAACCAGCAGATGGAAGATCTCTCTCTCTCTCTCTCTCTCTCTCTCTCTCTCTCTCTCTCTCTCTTTCTCTCTTTCTCTCTTTCTTTCTCCTTCTCTCTGTATCCCCATATTTAAAAAAAAAAGCTTGGCATCACTAGCCATGAGGGAAATAGAAATAAAGCACAATAGGAGATACCAGAAAAATGCCTGTTATTTTTCAAAAGAACCCATAAAATGGCAAATGGTGATGGCAGAACACTTGTGCACTGCTGATGGGAACAAATGGTGCGACCACCGTGGAAAACCAAACAGCCATTCCTCAAAGAGCTACACATCAATCACCATATAATCCAGCAACTCCACTTCTGGGTAGGCACCCAAGAGGGCTGAGTGAGGGCTTGAATAGGTGTTTGTACACCATGTCCATGGCAGCATTGTTCACAACAGCTAAAACATGGAAGCCACTCAAGGCTCCACGGACAGATCGATGGACTGCTGTGTGCATACAGTGGAATGCTATTCAACCTTAAAAGGGAAGGAAGTTGGGGGTGGGTGGGGTTTGAGGTTGCCTGCCTCCCCCCCAGGAGTGCTGGTTTGAGTCTGGCCTGCTTCGCTGCTAATACATAGCCTGAGAGGCATCAGGTGATGATGGCTCAGGGCCCCAGGCCCCTGCCACCCACGTGGGAGGTCCGGGTGGAGCTCCAGCCTCCTGGCTTCCACTTGGCCAGCCCTGGCTTTTGTGGGTATTTGGAGGAGTGAGCCAGCAGTTGGACGATCTCTCTCTCTCTCAGTGTGTCTGTTTCTGTGTGTGTGTGTGTGTGTGTGTTTCTGCCTTTCAAATGAAAATAAATTTAAAAAAATTGTAAACAGAAGGGAAGGGCTGGGGAGCTCAGAGACTCAGAGTGCTCTGACTTAGAGACCAGACTGGAGAGAGGGAGGGTTGTGAGGGTGACGGACCCAGAATGAACTAGACAGCAACCCCAAAGGTTTAATTGAGGAGCTTGATGAGGGGGTTTGCACTGACGAGAAAGGACCAAGGAGGGATAGAGAAGCTGTTAAAGACTTATCGTGGTGGGAAGCAGGTTCCACCCCACCCCCACCCCTGGCCACAGGCGCCATAGGGAGGGAACTGAATGCCAGAGCTTGGCCCAAAGAACCGGAGCTGTGGAAGTCACTGAGCCAGAGCCGGAGAGGAACTCAGCGAGGGGACAGACACCCGCCGCTCTCCCCTTCCACCCTCCGGTCTCCTGGTGAGGCTGCCCCTTGGATGAATCCAGCCAGGAGCCAGGAGCAAGGGAGCCTGGGTAATCCATGTGTAGAGGTGGCCTCCCAAGGCCCAGAGCAGTGCAGAGCAGGGCAGAGAATGGATCCAGTGGGGCAACCAGCACAGATGGTGATGCCATTTGTGGAAATGAGTAACACAGGGAAGGAGCACTTTTGGGGAAAACAGAAGACTGGTAGGGAAACCAAGAGAAAGATATATCCCTATGAGCCTGGGCAAGAGGTGAGGGCACATATCGAACCCGAGAGGCAGCCCGGCTTCCCGGGGCTCCCCATGCCAGGTCTGGTGCAGCGGGGGCGCCGCAGGCAGCTGGGGAATGCTTGCTTGCAGCCAGAGTGCAGGCTCCAATCCTCTGTTCCCACTGTGAGGCCAGAGAGGCAGGAGCTGGCGGGACAGCTGGGCAGAGGGCAGGAGGAGGTGTGGGCAGAATTCCCAGACACTCATTCCAAACAGAGTTGAGCGAAGTCTGGTCAGGCACCAAAGCTGTACGGTGAGGCTTCCGAAAGCCAACTTCCGTTAGGGATCGGGCTTCCCTCTGTGAGGCTGCTGCAGTCCACACCTCCTCGGATCTTTCTCCCCCCCCCCCCCCACACACACGCAGCCATCCACGGTTCTTTAAGCCAGGAGGGACCCGCAGGCCCTCTAGGGGGACATTCTCCCAGCCCTTGATCTTGATCTGCCTGGGAAGGGCCAGGCAGACAGAGGGGGCAGCTCCTCCCGGGAAGCAGAACCAAACTGACTGAGGCTCAGCCGGCACAAAACCCCAGCAGATGAAATATTCATACAGCCAGAAGGCAAGAGACCAGCAGAGGACTCCCCCCACCACCACCACCACCCGCCCTGCCCAGGGCTATGGGCCTGCAGCCCTGGCAACAGCAGCTGTAGCCCACCCCTCTCCCCCATCTCCAACCTTTGTTCTGCAAACACAGCGTGAATCCTAGCCATACACAGCATGCACACGCACACACGTGCACATGCACACGCGTGCACACACGGTAGGAGAGGCAACCTGGGGAGAGGAGAGGCGGGAAGGCAGACACACGCAGGCTCCACCCGGAAACATGAGCAGACACGCACACGCAGATGGGCGCCTAGACTCACAACCCACACACAGACTCACAACAAGTGTACACTCAGACCCAGGGCTCACTCTGGGACATGCAAACGCCTCCTAAAATCTGCAGCTCCAGGCGTCCCAGCAGGGTCCAGCCAGCTCCTGGGGACACTGTTGGTGGGCTTCAAGCAGGGCCCCCCACCCCTTCCTGACGTCCACTGGAGAGAGGCCTCTGGGCTCCCAGTGCCCGCACCCCTCCACCAGGCTCGCCCACTTAAAGGGCTGAAAAGGGACAAACTCGCCCAAGGACACAAAGAATAACCAGAGGGGGACTTGAATTCAGGACCCCAAACTCCCAACCCAGCAACACTGAAGGCCCAAAGTCTCCATTCTCAAAATCCTATCCCCGTTGGGGTCAGTCTCCCGCCCTACTCGGCCTGGCCTCCGTCCAGGCACCAGGAAATACGACGACAAGAGAGTCCTGGGGGTGTCCCTCGGGTGGACCCTAGCGCCCCCTTAGACACCTGGCTGCGCGGACAGTGTCCTGCCGAGGACTCTGCATGCCGAACGCCCCTCCTAAATCCAAACCAAAGACCTCCCGCGCCCAAGGCGCCGCCCAGAACTGGCGCGGCCCCGCCCGCAAGGACTGAGACAGACGTCCCGGCCGCGTCCTTGGCCTTCGCGGCGGGCGGCCCTCCACGCCTGCGGAGGGCGCTGTGGGCCCCTCAGAGCCGCTCTGGCCGGCAGGCGGTCGCCTCCATGGTGGTGCGCTGTCCAGCATTTCAGCAAGCGGCGGCGGCGGCGGCGGCGGCGCCCGCGGGGAGACGGAGGGCGCGGGCCGCGGGGGCCGCGGAGCTGCCCCGCTGAGCCAAGGCGAGTCGAGCGGACGAGGCGGCCCGGACGAACGGGGCCGGAGGGCCTGGCTCCGGCTCCCGGCAGAGCGCGGCGGTCGGCGGGGAGGTGAGAGCCCCAATGGGGCGGGGGCATTTCCCAGAGGGGCTGGAGCTGGGTTGAACCTGGGGCCTGGTCAGCTGGGCCCGCAGACCCCGGCGTGGAGGCTGGTACAGGGGGAACTGCTTGGATGTATGTCCCGGGTGCGATAGACGCTGGGGAAGAGGGCTGAGGATCGTTGTTCGCTTCCCTGGGAGGGATGGAGGCGGTGAGAACCCTGCGGGGTCATGGACAAGACTCTCCTGGGTGTAAAATGACCATGGCCCGCCCCAGGGTGGTGCCAGGGAGGACCCCAAGGGCAGCCCAGTTGCCCTCGCCCTACTGAGGGGGAAGGACTCACTCCCCAGGGAGGGAAGAGAGCAGGCAGGGACCCTGTGGAGATGCTGGCCACTGGCAGGGGTGCAGGGAGCAGGCCCCCACCTGGGTGTTGGGTCTCTGTCCAGCAGGGGGTGCCAGCATAGGGGACAGTCTGGCCCCTTTCTTGGACGCCCAGATGCCCCTGGGGGAGGCAGGAGCTGGCGAGGAGGAGAACTGGGTCTCACACAGGACGGCATTTACTCTCACACTCGGGAGAGGACGGAGGCCGAAGGTGGGCAGAGAGCCACTGGGAGTTTGGGGGAGGGGTGCTCTGTGCCCTCTCCGGATGCCCAGTTTCTAGAGCTCAGGAGGGGCCCATCCCTAGGGCGAATTCCTGGCAAAAAGAAGGCTGGGGAAAGAGACGCAGCCTCCACCTGGCGTGGCCCTCCCCCTCCCTCCCAGGGCTCTGCCTGGACAGCGTCGGTGCCTCCTGCAGTCCCTTCTGCTGGCAGCCGGTCCACGGTGTGGATGGATCTGGGGACAGTGAGGCAAAGCTCCCCAGGTCTGGGCTCCAACCCAGCTGTAACTTCCCACTCCCCGGAGACCTTGCTCAGGCACCCATTGTTGGAATCAGGGGGCCTGGGCTGATCTTTCATCCTGTGTCGGTGGGAGCAGAACAGGGGCTGGGGAGTTCCCAGGTCCAGGGGTGAGGGGCGCATCTTAAGGTCATGGCACCAGCACGTGCCAATTACTTCCTCAGCCAGAAATAGGACTGAGCCCATGGCTCCCACGCAAACCCCACACGCTAGTTTCTTACCTCTGTGCCCATCCCACTCTCCTGTGAGGGGTGGAGGAGGAATCCTTAAGGAACGATTAAAGAGTTGACGGGGTTTTAAGAGGTGGAGGTGGGTGGGTTGGGAGCCATGGACTCTGAGAGACATGGGGGTCAAATCCAGGTTGCCTTCTGTCAAGGGGGAGCCGCTGAACCTTCCTGAGGCTGTCTCCCCTTCTGTAAATCAGCCGCGGTCCTCACAGTACCCACCGTGTCGCTGAACGAAGTCACCCAGGGAATTGGCGGATGGGAAATTACGTTCACGCTGTGAAACGCTGGGTGTTAGTAAACAGGATACTAGCAAGAGTGCCTTAAGGAGGAGCCAGTGAGGGTGGGGAAGTGTTCAGCAGTGTTGGAAGCGTGCGTCTCTTCCCGGAGAGCAGTCGGTGTGCCAGGCTTCATGCTGGGTACAGGGCTACAGCCAACCGGCTGAGTCCACGAGGGGAGCGTCATTGTCCCTATTTCACAGCTAGAAAACAAGGCTTGAGCGACTTTCCCAAGGTCATGAAGCCACTCAGGCTGCCCACCCCCCCCCCAAGGGAGGCATCCGTGTTGGTGACAACCTGGCTCACCCTCCTCTATCAAGGGCCACTTAAGTGCCAGTTTCTTGGTCCACGGAACCAGCTTGACAGGTGGGGAGCCCAGGGCATCCAGGTAAGGACATGCAGTGCAGTGAGCAGGTGACTCCCCCAAGGTCGCTGGGCTATCTGAGCATGGAATGTGCTTTGAACTGGCCGGCTGGCTGCCCTTACCACAACCCACCCCCCGCCACTGTCCCACCTGCCAAGGGGAAGTCTGGGTCTGGCAGGCCCATCTGCTGGCTGCCGTGCCTGCTTCCTACCTCCCCTGCCCGCCAGCCTCTTGCTGACCTGGGCAAGCTGGTGACTGCCTCTCCTCCTGAGTGGTTAGCCCTTGCCCCCTGAGACGGCCCGTGGTCACGAGCAGCTGCCAGCATGGCTGGGGGCAGCCTTGCCTGCTGCCTCTCTCCTTCTCTGCCCCTAGGGACCGTCAGAGTTCCTCCCACCCTGCAGCCAACCAAGGACACGGAAGCCAAAGTTAGGGGAACCCCCGCCTGTCTCCCTGAACTCCTGCCCGCTCTCTGTGCCCCTGTCCCTGGGCCTGCCCCTTCACATACATGACCTCATCTCATCCTGCCTCCCTTTCACAGAAATGTGAGGTGACTTCCCCCAAGGTCACAGAGAAAGGTCTCGATGCAACCCAAGCCCCTTGCCTCAGGGCTCAGCGTGGCTCCACAGTTTTCCAGCTCTCCCAGGTGGTGGTCAGCCTGGGCGCTGTGGGCCAGGAGGGGCTGGCGACGTGGCTCATGGGGAAGGGAACTGATGGCCTCGGGGACCAGCAGTCCAGCGGACCTTCTTTCTGGTCCCAGCTCTGATCTTGACTCCTTGGGTGACCTTGAACATGTCCCAACCCATCTCTGGATCTCAACCATAAAATGATGAGTTTAACTAGATGGCTCCCCAGGTTCCTGGTTCAGATCTCGCTGCTGCTGGGAAGTCCGCGGTTTCATACAAGTCACTTCTGGTGGTGCTGGGTTTGATTTAGTGGTTGGAGCTGAGATTCCAAGTCCACCTGTCCTTTCCGCCTACAGACACAGGGGCCTAACTGCAGGACATGGAGAAGCCCAGTGGGCTCACCTGACTCTGTCTGTGGCCCCAAATTCCCAGGGACCTGAGAGACACTGAAGATGTCACCCAAAGCTGTTCACCAGGGCCCAAGAGCCCCCCCCCCCAACGGCAAGGACTCCCCTGCGCAGGCCCAGGGCAGCAGCAGGGCTGCAGCGGTCCATGTCTATTTCTGGGAGTTCAGGCCAGAAGAAGTGTGGCTCAACTGTGCTCTAAAGGGAGGCGGCAAGGTCCCGGGAGGCCTCTGTCAGAATGGCAGGCAGTCCAGGCTGGGGTGCAGGGAGAAATGGAGAAGGAATTTCTCAATTCCAACGCCAAGGCTCAGTGAGTGAGGGGGAGAGGGCTCAAGAGAGGGAAGGGCTTAGGGTGACCAGGGGTCGGGGCGGGGGTGTTCTCTGAGGAATAGAAGGCTCCGTGGCATCGTGGAGGCTCAGGGAGGAGGAAGGGGCTCCAGGAGGCGGCGCTCAGAGGAGTTCAATGGAGGCTTAGCAAGGGGGAGTGGGCTCCGGGAAGAGGGGGAGGGCGGAGAGAGGACAGGAGGCCCGGAGGAGGGAGCAGAGGGGCCTATGAAGGGGAGGACTCAGTGCCAGCCTGGCCCAGCCTAGGTCATGCTGTGGCTGAGCACCTGCTCGTATCTCTGGGTTTCTGCCCTTTCGCTCTCTTCTGGGTCAGGAACACAGGAGAGCCAAAGCTCCATTCCCAGAGCCCTAGCCCTGCTGGCCCCTTATCATCCACAATGTGGCTCTTGGGATCCCCAGGACCAGCAAGGTAGGTCAGGGCTGCGCAGGCTGACTCCCGAACCGGGAGAGAGGCTTCCCCGGCCATGTGTGCTGTGGCCCTGGAGCAGCCCCTTCCCTCCAAGGGACAACCCTTTAGCCAAAAGCTGCTGGCCTGTCTGTCTGCTGTGCAGCTTCCTGGGCAGCCAGCCTGGCCTCAGCCTCCCGTCGTCCCCGCCCTGGCCTCCTGCCCACTGCAGAGGCTGCTGTGCCCGCTGAAGCTGGAAGGCGGACCCAGCTCCCTCAGGATCCTGCTGGGGCCTCTCGGGGCTACAAGGAGGCCCAGGCCCAGTCTCCCAGGCTCAGGGGGCCAGGCAGCTTCCTCAGCTGGACAGCTACGGCTCTGAGTGCCCCCTGCCTGAACTCCCCGGGATGGAGACAGGTAAAAGCAAGCCTCATATGAAATTCGCTGGATTTTTAAGACCAGCTAATTTTCCTTGCATGAGATTCGGGAAATGCAGAAAGCAAGGGGAAGAGAATTAGCATCAGTAGTGCTAGCACTCGGCCACAGCTTTGGGGGATAGAGTGGGGCAGGGGGGTGCTTCCCAACGTTCATGGGAGAAAGGACTACAAATTAAGCATATTTCGGTGCAGAATGTTTTTGAAATTCATGCATGGGAGAGGTTTTAAGGAAGCTCATGACAAGGAGGTATTATGAAAAAACCATGCATGATCTTAAACATTTTTTGCACCCAAATAAACTTTGTTTAAAAATATTTTATTTCATTTATTTGAAAAGCAAAACAACAGAGAGGGATCCTTCTACCTGCTGGTTCACTCCCCAAGTGGCTGCAACAGCCAGGGCTGGGCCAGGCTGAAGCAAGGAGCCAGGGACTCCATCCAGGGCTCCTACATGGGTGGCAGGGACCCAAGGACTTGGGCCATCTTCTGCTGCTTTTCCAGGAGCTTCAGCCGGAAGCTGGATCAGAAGTGGAGCAGCCGGGACTCAAACTGGGGCTCCCATGTGGGATGGCAGCTTTGCAAGTGGTGGCTTAACCCACTGTGCCACAATGCCAGCCCTGAAAAAATATTTTAAATACATATTTTTTTTAAAAAATGCAATTATCTGAGAGGAAAAGAGAGAGCCCCAGGTGACGCTTCGCCAGCTGTGCCATGCCAGCCCCGGAAAGTACATTTTTGATGGTCCTTAAAAGCCGGGCATGGCAGGAGTTGCCTTCCAGAGAAGCAGTGAGCTGCAGGGAGCGCCTTGCCCGGGCACCTCTGTTAGGCGGATGCCCCTTTGGGCTCTGCTGGCTGTGGGTTTCCCTTGGGGAGGACGGCTGTCCGGCTTCCCCAGTGCACCCTCTGCTAGGGACTGAAGTGGGAGGGGCCCAAGCTGCCGGGGGAGGAGGGGCAGAGGCTCCCACATCTGTGGGAATAGTGAGAAGCTGAGGTCCAACAAGACCTCAGAAGAAAGAGCTGTGGATTCAGGCACTTCCTCACCTCCTGGTCTCTGATCTC